GTGTCTCCGACTATTTGATAATGAATTATGTCCAGATAAATAAACATAAGCTGAGTACCAGCGCATACATCAACGGGATAGTCAGCAATAAGATCTTGGGTAGAGAATGTGCTATGCTTCGTGCTTCCTTGTTTGTAACCTATATGATAACCAGTTCCATTTATGTCGCCTTTGAATCCAAGTACACTAGAAATTTGCGGGCTTGAAAAAGTTATACCTTCCCAATAATGCAGCCATAAGGAAAGATGTTTGCTTATTGGATCTATTACGTAATCCAATTTCTCTAATTATGTCTTTCGACGAATCTCGTCCAGTATTTGATCAATGCTCGTATATTCTCCCTTTGTTGTTTTTGCTGTTTCTCCAAGGTAAGGTCTGGAGATTTTGTCTTTCTCAACTTTCATGCTTGCTATAACCCAATCTTTTTTGTAGTACACAATGTGGTTGTCAGTTACGTTGTTTATGTGAGTAGGGAAGGTAATTTCTGTAACTGCTACTCTCCATTCACCTTGCAAATTTATTTCTTCACTCAGGAGATTTTTGAACTTGGCCAGAGTGTTGTCTTTAAAAACGTTCATTGATGCAGATGAAACTAGGGTAATTGTGAAGGAAGGGGGAACATTATGGGTGAAAAGGCTGTTGGAAGTGCCCTCAGTCATGATTGTCCTTCTCCAGAACGCGAATTAGTTCAGACTCGTAAAATTTTCCTTCAATCTGTTCTCTGTTAGAATCAATCAAATTGTATGTTGGGGGATTTCGTGTTGGTATGTCAAAAACTTCAAACATTTCATCGGTGAACGATTGTTTGTAACCCTTGCGAAAAGGTATGTCTACTTTGGCAAGTCTAACATTATCACCAACATAAAGCTTTGGATGTCGAACTAATTTCAAAGATTGTTCTGCTCTTAATGAAATCAGGCGAGGAACATCTTTTTTAGTTACCTTGTTTGGTGCAAGATTTGTGACACGATTTGTTCTCGAATTAATTGCATTGACAAAAATCTTGCAATTTGTCAATGTATGAGTAAGTCCATTTATCCTCCAAGTACTTATAAATAAGATTTTTCAAGGAACGGATATTTCTCTCAGCGAATGTGGACTTTTTCTCGCCCTCTGTGCTATATGTGTTTATGCCTTTCTTTTTACATAAAGCTTCGAAGGACCCTTTAAACTCTGTGCCCTTGTCCACTCATACTTTTTCCGGTTGTTTTGTCGTTATAATTAGTTTGAACGCTTCTGCTGTTGTAGTAGCATACTTTGATTTCAAGGGTTGCGCTCTGAGATAGCGGGACATGCAGTCAACTGCAACAAGCAGATACTTAACATCATGCTTGTACTGGGCAAGTTTATCAACAAAGGCCAGATCTAATGGCCAGATTTCGTCGATATCGTAAACTATGACCTTGAGTCGCGGCGTTTTTCGGATCACAGTTCGATATTTTGTGTATGCAGGTTCAGTATGAAAGAAATGTTTAACTTTCTTTCGCGACAAATTGCCTGCTTTTATCAAGTTGTTCACACTACCAAACAACGCGGGACCTTTGTCACTGTATTTCGTTTTCAACAAATTTTCTTCAATCTTGGTAATTTTCCCATTGTTTTGTTTGCGCCTTCGTCTTTTCTGACGTTGGAAAATCTGAATCGTTATGGGGCGTTCCGTATGAGTCAGAGCCTTCTTCTGACTCTTTTTCACGTTTTTGGTTTCGGGTTTTTCTATTACCGCTGAGACTTTTTCGTTTGTGTTTTTTACTTCTCTTAAGGTTTGCACTACTTTTTTCCTGCCAAGTGGGTGATGTTGAGCGGGTTCTTGAGGTTCCGGGTTCTCGTTTCTCTTGAGCGTTAAAATACGCTGACTGAACCGCGTGTTTGGCATTTCGATTTATTACCAGGTTTTCATTCAAGTTGAGAGCAGTTAAAATGTTAATGAACGCCGGCTTGTGTAATTTTTTCGTTGGTTGTTGCATGTCGTATAAAAAAAGTGCAGCTTTAAGTCCTGTTGGTACTTTATCTACATATATCACCTCATTGTCACGGTTTATGCTTACTCTTTCTGAATTTTCTATGATTTCAAGTACGGTTTTTGCTCTAACAAATTAATTTTTTGTCTTCTAAAACTTGTAAAACTTGTAACTGTCCTAAAATGCTTTCGGTCTGTCTATTGTGTTTCTCTTCTAGTATTTCGTCTTTAACACGTTCGACAGGTACTTCTTCATCGTCCGTTAACAGTTTAAGCTGTTCTTGTTGGGGCTCAACATTATCCGTAAATGTTTCCTTCGTTGCAGTAGTCTTACTACTTTGAGGAGGTAATTGGGGTCTAAGCCGGTTAAGATAGGACAGTTTTTTTTATGTTTAATATTATTATCATCAAGAACACGTGCAGCATGTGGCTGCTCTTTAACATTTAAATGTTTCGGAATTAGAATGAATTCTTCAGCAGTCATCATTAAGTTGTGAGGTACTTGTAACAAAAATAAAGTATTTGTCGAACTAAATGGAAGCCTTCTTTACTCAAAATAATCGCACGTTTTTTTACAACACTGGTTTTTGGAGTTATTAAGTATTTGTATGCTGTCGCGAATCGTTCGATGTTTGCGATTTTAACGGGTACGTTTCCATTGACTACATTGAGCAAACATTCACAAATAAGTGTTATGATCTCACGATTTGAAGTTTTTCTAATTAATCTTTTTAGCTGGTCAGGTTTCAGTTGTACCATATGCCGCAGAATAGATAAGTTTTTCTTTTTCATTTGTAATTGGAGTAGTTTCTGCTTCAGATAAGGGTAAATAAAAAACTGTTGGCCCAGGTCGTGTGATATTTGAACAATATCTCAAACAATCTGATGTACGGGGGTCCAAGTCGATTAGAAGATGTCCAAAAGAGTCTCTGTTAGCTAATTCGTAACAGTTTCTCAAAAATTCTGATATATTCAATTGTCTTCCTAAAAGATCTAGTTGCTGAACGTCGCGAGGCGATTTGAACAGAATGATAAGTGAAGTGTTCAAATCAATCGTACGCGACCATCGACTTTGTTGAAACAAGTTATGCTTAACATATATTACATCTATCCCTCTATGTCTACCCGCTGTCGCTAACCTAACAAATTCTTTGTCATTATAGATGTCTTTACATGAATCATCGAAAACTAGAAGAACATTTTCTAATTTTCTCACAGATTCGAATCCGTCGAATTTCATGAACTTCACTTTCACTTCGCGAGAAGACACTTTTTCTGAGAATGCAGGTTGCATCTTTTTGTTAAGATATAGAACGGTTCCAAATTTAGGGTAAAAAGTAGTTCTCATCAAAAGTTTCAAAATTAACTCAGTTTTCCCGGATCCTGAAGGTCCCACTATCGCCATAAAAATTCTTGTCGAAGTATTAATCACTTTATTCATATTCTTGGGTTTGGTAGTACGTAACCAACCAAGCCTGAAAAAATCGAGAACCAAACTGACGTTTCTTCGCACCTTAATTTAGTGAAAGAAAGTTTGAGAATGCGCATTTGAATTAGAATTACTACCATTTGCGCAACAAAAACTACTTCAGACCTTGGCAAAGTTACATTGTTACAAAACTTCCATGATTTTTTTTTCACTGTTTATCTCGTTATAAACAAACTCTGTTACTATTGTTGCGTCAGGTTCATCTACTGCTGTTGTTGCTTCTGACATTTGAGAAACTATTTATTCTACAGATTGTGTTAGACTTTTTCTCTCTGTGAAAGAAACTTGTAAAAAATTGAATTAGTTTTGAGAACAGTAAAAAAATTCATAACGTGTGAAATCTCTATCATTTATGTCATGTATTTCTAGAACAAAGTGTGCTGGGATATTTGCAGTATTTTCGTAGTACATTATTTTCTTCACAGAATCCTCTTTCACAATCGTCTTAATCTCATCTGGCAATTCACTGCTGTTTAGATCCATCTGAACTCCTGGCTGACGTTTGGGTATCGAGACTAGTTCGGGAAGATTTACTCCTCGCTTGCTGGGTAACATTTCTGATAAACTTGAATCTCTGGAAGTATACAAATTGATCAATAACTGGAGAAAACTTCTTCAACGTAGACAACTCTTCTTCGGAAATTATTATTTGCTCCTTCCTCTGAACAATTTGGCCACTGCACTCAATACGCTCTATTCTCGTTAATGAAATTTTAATATCACCCTCTGGAGTCATCCACACACAAAGCAATGAATTTGGTGATAGGTATGTCTCCACTTTTGCTGATCTCTCGCTGTTGTTCATTTTTCAACCAATCATAAAAAACCTTGGTTTTCTTCAGGGCACAATGATTCCTGGAGTTGTAGTGTGGAATATGTTTATTGCAACTTGGATAATTTTTAAAATATAAATTTTCAACCCGAGGACAGCCCAAATCATCTAGGTTTTCAATCTTTCGGTCCAAGTACTTGGCCAAAAATTCTGTCTTTTCTTTTCCTTTAGCGTAAAAAACGGCACCAGGATTTCTCAACACAAAACTCTGAAGTATTTGATTCAAGTTTATGTAAAGGTAATCACCGTTTTCCCAATGGAGACCGTGTAAATAATTTGTTAACCAGTTGTAAGCTTTTTGTTCAAGCTTTGGTAGTATATTGAAATTCACTGGAGGTAAGAAAATGAGTCGATCGCTGTAGTCTGAAGTTGTTATTGCTAATTCTTTAACCAAAAAGGCGTTTTTTTTGTAACGAAAGCCTTCCACCTCAAGCACAACTGATCTCTCGCCTAGCAATCTAGTAAATGATAAACTTCTGGTTTTTTCAACTTAATGAAAAGGCAGAACGCTATTCC